TGATCTATATTTTGGAACATCATGAATGTATCCCTGCTAACTAAATTCTGTACAAATAAAGAAACACTCTGGCTGCTAGTCAGTCAGGCTGCAAGATTCTCCTAACCACCATGGTCTGGCTCACTTCCTTCTCCTGCCAACTCCTTACACCCTCTGCAGGACCCATCCACTCCTGGGGATGGCTCCTGGCACAACATAATTAAGACAAAGCTTTAAATAATGGTTTAAGGTTAGGTTAAAATGTTTCTGCTATAATGTCTTTGATGTAAAAAAAAATTTGAAAAACAATTTAAAGACATACTTTCAATAGTTGAGTGAGGGACTTGTTGAGGTCAGAGAACAGGACAATGGCAGCCTGGCTACTGCTGGCTGTGGTGCTTTTCTTACTAGGATGCTTTGGTGATCAAAGTGATGGCTTATTCCTTGTGCCCATTTTTGTCCTCAGCTTCCTGATATGATTTAATAAAAATATGGTTGATGAGCAGGTATGTACCTTGAAGATTTAAAGTAAAAATGACTGGTTGTTTTTCATATATAAAATCTTAGGTTTGTGATTCTTTTAAGACTTTTTACAAGATCATCTTCTTTCTTTTTTCTTTCTTTCTTCCTTCCTTTCTTTCTTTCTTCTTCTTCTTCTTCTTCTCCTTCTTTTTTTTTGTTTTTTCAAGACAGGGTCTCTCTGTGTAGTTTTGGTGCCTGTCCTAGATTTTGCTCTGTAGACCAGATTGGCCTTGAATCTGCCTGGCTCTGCCTCCTGAGTGCTGGGATTAAAGGCGTGCAACACCACCGCCACTTAGCTACCTTTTGAGATAAAAAATAAAGTGATTGATCCTTTCCTTGCAACCACAACATGTAGCCTGCCAGTAAAAGAACTGGCTGAGAAAGTAGGTTGTTTGTTTATACTTTGTTAATCTATAACAAGTTGCTTGGCTATAAATGTAGGTGGGTTCTTGGGACAACTTGTTTTTCACCTTTAATACATAAGATGTTTAGTCATGTAAAGGATATGGAAAACATGCTGTTTTTTTATTTATAATCATTCACTTGAGAAATCGAATGTAACTATATTGTCATTTTTATATTGCTTTAAAGATTTTGCTGCGGTAATATAAGCTGTAAGGAAAAAGTAGAGACACAAGAGAAGGAAAACAACAGGAAAGATATAGAAGGAAAATTAGAAGAAAGACATCAAGAAAGACAGAAGGAAAACATCAGAATAGAGTAGAGCAAGCAACAGAAGAATAATAAAATGAAGAACTAAGCTTTGGACCTCAGAAAAGTCATCATGTGTCTCTTTGTCCAGTAGTTTGCCTACTTTGCATCTCCTCTTCAGTTTCTCTGGCCAGCTGAAGGCTTGTAAGGCACCAGTACCCTAGGTGAGATCCTGACGTATTGGAGATGTATGTGTGAGTGTGTGTGTGTGTGTGTGTGTGGGAGTGGTGTGTGTGTGTGTGTGTGTGTGTGTGTGTGTGTGTGAGAGTATGTGTGTGTGTGTTTTCCCCCTTTATTTTTGCCAGCCCCAGAAAGTTCAGTTTTACTCCCTTATATGGAAAAGTCAAGTTGAGTGCATAGTCTGCCAATTCTGTGGTTTCCCCTCAATACCAGAGCTGCTAAAGGCTGGTCCTCATGGCAGCAATAATATATTTTGGATATTAACCCTTGAGGTGGTTTGAAAGAAAATGGCCCCCAAAGGGAGTGGCACTATTAGGAGGTGTGGCTTTGCTGGAGTAGGTATGGCCTTGTTGGATGAAGTGTCATTCTGGGAGTGGACTTTGAGGTCTCCTATGTGAAAGGTACTCCCAGGGTCACAATTCACTTCTTTTTGTCTTCTGATCAAGATGTAGACATCATCAAGTGTGCCTGCATGCCACCTTGTTCCTCACCATGATGATAATGGGCTAAACCTCTGAAAAGTGCAAGTCGCCATATCAATTAATGTTTTTCTTTATAAGAGTTGCCATGGTCATGGTGTCTCTTCACAGCAATAGAAAACCTAAGACAGCCTTCTAACAGATGAGGGGTTGGCTAAAATCTTTTCCTGTACTATATCCTGTCTCTTTGAATGATGGTGTCCTCTGCCATACAGAAGCTTTTCAGGTTCTTGAGGTACCATTTATTAATTGTTGTTCTTAGTGCCTGTTCTATCAATGTTCTGTTCATACATACAGTCACTTTTCCCATGCCAATAAGTTCGAGGCTATTCCTCACTTTCTCTTCTACCAGATTAAGTGTATCTGGCCTTATGTTAAGATTATGGATCTGAGCAGGGTGATAAGTATGGATCAATTTGGATTCTTCTAACATGCAGTCATCCATTTTGGCCAGCACCATTTGCTGAAAATTATATATATAAAAGGCACCGAATTTTTTACAGGCATCTGCACTACTTCAATATCTTGAATATTTTTGTAGTAAATATGGGTCAGCAGATTTCTCTGTGCTCTTGCTACACACTTCCTTTCCCACTATCAGTTTTCCAGTGCACCCCCACTCTGGCCCAGGCTGCCTTCACCACATCTCCAGCTGTCAGACTGTCAGAGACCTGCTCTGCATAACCACCCCACATGCTTGCTATTGACCTAGACCAGAGCTGGGTATAGTAGAATGCTTCACTCCAATACCTGGACAACAATCTGGGTGTGCAGCGCTTGAGCAAAGCAACTGATATTGAGAATCCAATTTGCTGTAAAACTGAATAGTGGGAGAAGTGTGTAGCAAGAGCAGCTTATGAAGGTATATAATTCAACATAGCACAAATCCAAGAGCCAGAGCCAGGGGAAAAATGCAGTGAAAAAAAAAAAAAAAAAAAGTGGATATTACAATGCCACTCTGTTTGTCTGCACTAGGACTCTTGAGATTGGGGCCATCAATATTTCATTATAGCTGAGAGAGGGGCCTCAGAGGTTGGAGTCTTCCCTGAATGTAGTGGAGGGGTGTCTTCAGTTACAGGGTGAAGCCATTAATGAGTTGCCCTCAATCTAACAACTTCCATACATGCTCAGACAGGTAACTAATTAAAATCAAAGGATCCCAGTCAAAGAGATGAAAGGAGATCTGATGATTTTATTTCTGCAACTGCCTCCTGCATTATATATATAAAAACTCCTGTGATACCCTCAGGAATACTCTTTTTTGTTTGTTTGTTTTATTTGTATTTTTTTTTTATGTATGAGTGCTCTGCATATACACACTTATTCTTATGTTAATTCTTAGTCTTGTTTTGTCAGTTGTGATTGTAGCTGAGTTTACTGGGAACAAAAGCTGATAAGTTTCTACAAAGAAATTAAACCTTTCTGCAGTCATTCACAGGAACCGGTTTCTCCAGTCACCCCTGGGTGCCTTTGCCATCATTCTGAGTGAGAAAGGAGAACTCACTAGGGCTAAAGGTTCTTGCTTAATTAACTATCCTAAAAAAAGAGAACTGTATTCTAAAAAATTTAAGAACTTGGGAGAAAGTTTCTTAAAACCTTATAGGGACACGTAAGAAAAAGGTAAAGGATATGAAAGGTCAGAAATCTTTTCAGTTAAAACTGTAGGTTCCCTTGGAAGTAGAAAGCACACATAGAAACTGCTAGGAAAAAAACTATCTTGTTCCCACAGCTAAAAATTTAAGTAAACATTACCATTTTGGGAATTTATAAGGAATAGAATAACTGTTGTACATATAAAACTGATACACAGATTACTTCGAAATTGGTTTAGACCTGAAAATATCCTAGATATGGCATCATACATGCAGCAGATTACAAAAATATAAAAGTATCATGTTGTTAAGGACTAATCATAAGTCTCTTTTCATTTAAGCTGCATGTTTGCTGTTGGCTAGGGCACAGTATGAATAAGATGTGTCTGGCCAGATATAATCATTTGGCTTGCAACATAAAAATTAATGATATGGGGTAAAGGTCTATGATGTTAAGGGAGTAGGAAAGAGGAAAAGAAACTAAAATGGGCAAATCTTCATGATTCTTGGGAAATGATTAAAGAGAAATGTATTACAACAATGCTTGAATGTATTAGAACTTGTATAAAAACAGCTTGAGTTATTCAATGCCATCTGTTTGAAAGACAACTGGTGGTCAGACTCTTCATTTTTGGCCAATTTCACACCTCTGTACTCCGGCTCAGAACTCTGCTGTAACTGGACTCCAGCAAGTAGCCAGTGCTCTTAACCTCTGAGCCATCTCTCCAGCCCCTGTGTAAAAACTCTTGATTCAGAATCAGGTGCAACATCATAGGATCATAATTCCGCCATCTCTATATGAGGCTCCTTGATGCTGCTTTATAGAGTTTGCACCTACACAGTCACCTTTCCAATCACAAATGGGAAATCTGTTCACCTGTCTAATGCATTTGTTAGCAGTATGTGTTTCTGATGTCCTTTTTTCCTTCTTATTTAAGAAATAGAGTAAAAGCAGAGACGCCACTCAGGACACCTGTTACAGCTGGTCAGTGAGCAGCATTCATCACAGCTGGCATGTTCTGTTTTCCACTAACACACCCGAAAACCAATTTTCTGGTCTAAACCCTCTATGCTATAAAAACAGTCACGAAAACAATTCTCACCTAATGTGCATCAAATTCTTTCTCTGCCTAGTCAGTATGCACACTACAGGTTGTACTAACCATCTCAATTCATGTTTCAAAAAACAATACCGAGAAACCCTTAATGTTCATACACATATCCACATCAGTTGGACATGACTATCCTATTGCACTGAAATCTCTGAAACATATAATGGTATGGTTAAATACACTGCAACACATTTCTTGGCTAAGCTCTAAATTTTCTGAGTCTATTTGTAGTATAAATATTCTAATATAGTGCTTCAGAGTTGGAACAAGTACTTCCTCATCTTTTCTCAGTATTTCAAAATAATCTTCAAGTACAATCCTGAGGATTTCTAAGGCATACATGAGCATGTACACAGTCTTCATATGTTATCTCTTTAAAGTTTCATAATTTGCAGATATTTGTATGGATCAACTCACACATGAAATGAAGCTGAAAGTAAGTCTTTATTAAAGCATTTGCTTAAGATTTATTTCATGATGAATTTTCCAGTATGTCTACAATATTATGGTTGCTTAAAGGATTTAACAAAAAGAGCTGAAATTCAGTCGTTTGTCGGGGAGGCTTACAGAGTAGAATTTCCAAGGTAAAACAAGAAACAAGGATGTAACAGTGGTCATACTTGCCCATGAGCAGCAATGTTCTGGGGTTCATTAAAGCATGAGTGAATCACAGAGTCTAAGCATTAGAGGAATGCATAGAAACAGCCCAGTTTGGAATATGTCTCTGACAGTTTGGTAGACATATTTTCATTTGTCTCTGAATGCTACAAAGAAAGCAGCCTCTTTTCGGAGGCTCCGTAAGCCTGTAAGTTCTGTCTGTATTGAGCTCCTTTAACCAGACCAGGTGTGGCAACAAGCTTGGAGCAGTGAGCACCAACAATCTTCCCTAATTTAGTTGACTCAAATACTTTCTCTACTATCATTATTCTGGTGTACATGCAATTTGGAGGAATAAAATCAGCACATGTTTCATTTTCATGAGAGTTGTTTCCTGGGGAAAACACAAAATATACATGTGCTTAACCACCCAAATGGGGACTTACAACACAACCAAATATGGATGCCACTGAAATCCATCTTGTTAAATCAATGAGCTTTACTGGATGATAGGAATATGGAGTGTTGCAAAAATATGATTACACTGTGCAAAGATATGTCACTGTGATTGGTTTAATAAGAAGCTAAAGGGTCAATAGCTAGGTAGGGACAATAGGCAGGACTTCTGGGAAATGGAACTGGGGATGAATCTAGGCATGCAGAGGAGATGCCAGCAAGATGCAGAATGAGTTGGAGGTAGAAAGGTAAAAAGCCACGTGCTAGTACATAGATTTAAAAAAATGGGACAATTTAAGATATAAGAGCTAGTTAGGAACAAGCCTAAAGTATAGGCCAAGCTTTCATAATTAATAATAAGTCTCCCTGTTTTTATTTGTGAGCTGGCATCCCAAAGAAACATATGGCTACCAAGGAGCCATTTATAGGGACAAAGGGGACTCAAAGATAATTGCCCCCATGAAACTCCAACCTAGCATGAGATGTAGATTATGAACACTGGACACCTGGAACACACTGCCCACCTGCAGGTATTCCCATAGGTTAAAGGGTGCCCTATCTTTGTGGCTCAATTAAAGCCTCATCTAAGAAGCATAATTGGCATGAGTTTCTTCATGGGTGTTAAACACAGTGAATCCTGTGAGATTCAGGTACTTCTTGAAGCTATTGCATGGTTACTTCTTATCTTAATCAGTTTCCTTTTAGGATGGAATCTTTTAGTCTCCAGGAACTGGCTACACAAGAACATATTCATAAGGTTCTCCATTTTGTATTCATTATAAAATATTGGCAGTTGAAATAGTATGTTTTACAGAAAATTTTTGTAGATTGCCACATTTTTAGAATTTTCCTCAGTATGAACTTTTGATATTTTCTAAGACATAAACATCACTTAAAAGGTTTCACAAGTTTTTCATGTTCAAAATGATTTTCTAGTGTGGAGCCTTTAGTGGTCCCTAAAGACACAGCTTGGATATGTCTTTACCATGGAAACTTTCTCCACAGAATGTATTTTTTGATGTTTTCTTAGACATGAGAGGCAGGTAAAGTCTTTGCCACTTGTAATATATTTGTAAGGTTTCTCACCTCTATGAATTTTCTGATGCAGCCTAAGATATGAGTCAATGGTAAAGGATTCCTCACATTAACAACATTTGTAACTTTTTTCTCTAGTATGAAATTTCTGATGAAATCTAAGGTATGAGCCACTGGTGAAGGATTTCTCACATTTACTACATTTGTAATGTATTAATTATCTGATGCACTCTAACATATGACCTACTGGTAAAAGATTGGTCACATTCACTGCATTTGTAAGGTTTCTCTCCTGTATAAATTCACTAATGGGTTCGAAGTTGGCATTTCTATATAAAGCATTTGCCACATTCATTACATTTGTAGGTTTCTTTCCTTTATGAATTTGTTGGTGTTCTCTAAGTTTGACTTTCAGGTTAAAGCATTTACCACATTCACTGCATTCATAAGGTTTCTCCCAAGTATGAACTTTCTGATGTATCTTAAGATGTTGTTTCTTGATAAAGGATATATCACATTCACTACATTTGTAAGGTTTCTCACCTCTATGAATTTTCTGATGCAGTCTAAGATATGAGCCAGTGGTAAAGGATTTCTGACATTCACTACATTTGTAAGGTTTCTCTCCTGTATGAAATTTCTGATGTATTCTAAGATATGACCCACTGGTAAAGGATTTCTCACATTCATTGCATTTATAAGGTTTCTCACCTGTATGGGTTCTCTGATGCAATTGAAGAGATGAACAACTGGTAAAGGATTTCTTACATTCACTGCATTTATAAGGATTCTCTTCTGCATGGATTTTCTGATGGCTTCTAAGATCTGAACCAACTGAAAAGGATTTCTCACAGTCACTACATTTATAAGGCCTCTCTCCTGTATGAACTGTCAGATGTCTCCTCAGCTGTTGTTTCTGGATAAACCCTTTGCCACATTCATTACATTTGTAAGGTCTCTCACCTGTATGAATGTTCTGATGCAATTGAAGAGATGAACTACTGGTAAAGGATTTCTCACAATCACTACATTTAAAAGGCCTCTTTCCTGTATGCATTGTCTGATGTCTTCTAAGTTGGTGTTTCTGGATAAATGATTTGTCACATTCACTGCATTTGTAAGGTTTCTCACCAGTATGAATTCTCTTATGCAATCGAAGAGATGAACTACTGCTAAAGGATTTCTGGCATTCACTGCATTTATAAGGACTCTCTTCTGCATGAATTTTCTGATGGCTTCTAAGATCTGAGCCAAGTGAAAAGGATTTCTCACATTCACTACATTTGTAAGGCTTCTCTCCTGTATGAATTGTCTGATGTCTCAAAAGCTGTTGTTTTTGAACAAAATCTTTGCCACATTCATTACATTTGTAAGGTCTCTCACCAGTATGAAATTTCCGATGTAATCGAAGAGATGAACTACTGCTAAAGGATTTCTTACATTCACTACATTTGTAAGGATTTTCTTCTGTATGAATTTTCTGATGGCTTCTCAGATCTGAACCAACTGAAAAGGATTTCTCACAGTCACTACATTTATAAGGCCTCTCTCCTGTATGAATTGTCTGATGTCTCCTCAGCTGTTGTTTCTGGATAAACCCTTTGCCACATTCATTACATTTGTAAGGTCTCTCACCCTTATGAATGTTCTGATGCAATTTAAGGTATGAACTACTGGTAAAGGATTTCTCACATTCACTACATTTATAAGGCTTCTCACCTGTGTGAATGTTCTGATGCAATCGAAGAGATGAACTACTAGTAAAGCCTTTCCCACATTCACTGCATTTGTATGGTTTCACACCTGTATGAAATTTCTGATGCAATCTAAGATATGAACTACGGGCAAAGGATTTCTCACATTCAGTGCATTTATAAGGCCTCTCTCCAGTATGAATTGTCTGATGTCTCCTAAGATGGTTTTTCTGGAAAAAAGACTTGCCACATTCATTACATTTGTAATTCTTCTCCCCAGTATGAAGTTTCTGATGGGTTTTTAGATGTGTCTGCTGGGTAAAGCATTTGCCACATTCCCCACACTTGTAAGGTTTCTCCCCTGTATGAATTCTTTGATGTGTTTTAAGTTTGGCTTTCTGAAAAAAAGATTTACCACATTCAATGCATTTGTAAGGTTTCTCTTCTGTGTGAATCCTCTGATTTTTTTTAACACCTAAAGCAATGGAAAGGGATTTGTCACATTCATTAAATCCGTCAAGTTTCTCTCCATTATGGCTACTATCATGGTATTCAAGGTGTGACAAAATGTAGAAGTTACTACATTGCTTACATTCATGAGACTTCTCTCCTCTATGAAGTTTCTGATGTTTTCCAAGATCTGAGCAGCAAATGAAGGACTTGCCATAATCAGTAAATTTGTAAATTTTCTCTCCAGGGTGGATTCTGTAATGTCTTTTAAATTCTGATGAATCATAAAAGCACTTACTGCTTTCAGTACATTTGTACGGGTTTTCTCCATAATGGACGTTGTTATGTACTTTCAGTTGTGATAGAAGCAGAAAGATATTACTACATTCTGTACAGTTATAAGGTTTCTCCTCTGTATGAGATCCTTTATGTCTACTGAGGGTTGAGTACGTCTTGAAGCATTTACTACATTTCTGGCATTGCTGTGGTTCCTTTCCATTGTGGAGTCCTTCCAGTGTGAGTTTTTGTCTAGAGTCAAAAGATTTATCATTCTCTGCATTTTTGTGTTCTTCCTTTCCAGTGTGGATTTGTAGATTTCGGCTAATGATGGAACACAAATTTAAACAGTTTACACAGTCCTTATATTTGGAAGGTTCTTCTCCCGTGTTCCCACTTCTTTGTCTGGTTGAGTTTAATAATTCAAGAGAGGCATCTATTTGGTCTCCAAACTTATACTTCTTGCTGTTTTCTACAGTATCACTTGTGTCATAAGGTGTACATGTAAAAAATTCATGTATAACTTTGCAAAGATCATTACATTTAAAAGCCTTTTCTTGGATATTCACATAATCATGGACAATATGCTTTGAGTCATGGTGAAGGTCATTCTTATATTCAACACACATGTGATGGTTGTCTGGAAAATTAGCACAATTAAGGATTATAGGGATTAATTTATGGATAACAGATTCAATAGCTGAATTTCTCTTAAAAAAGGTGAACAAACAATTCTTAGGAGTAGAGCTTTGAGCAGATGCCTTTTGCACTTAACTATCATTTTATGGAAGCTCAGAACCTCTACTCAAACTAATTTCCTTCTCATCTAAATCTTGTAGAAGGTCAAATAAGTGATTGAACAAAAATGAACTCTGAGAAAGGAGCTCTTTGAAGGATCATATGAAGGAAGATCCCATATTTTCTTGTGTATGCATCTGAGACACAGTCATATCATGTTGCCTTCTTTGGTTAGGAACTTACTTTGTAACCCAGGCTGGAATGAAACTCACCTCTTGCTTCATCCTCCCCAATGCTATGATTAAAACCATATCAAGACTAAATATAGAGACTATCTCAAACAATAAGCAAATAAACAAAAACAACAACATGCTCACCATCAAAAACTCTTTCTTTAATGAAAAACCTCTCCTTTTGAGAGCTCTAATGGATTTCCTTGGAAGGGGGAAATAGAATGAATATTGTGAGTGGAATGGAGTGGGGATGGGAACAGGAGATATCAGGTTGAGGGGCAAGAATAGAGGGAGAGAATATGGGAAGAGACAACTGGAATTGGAGGGCACTGGCATGGTTTGTGTGTGTGTGTGTGTGTGTGTGTGTGTAAACTTAATACAGTAGAAACTCCCAGAATTCTATGAGGGTAACCTCAGGAAGAACTAGAAACAGAGGATTCAGAGCCTGAACTAGCTATCCTCTGTAACCAGGTAAGGCTTACAATGGTGGGACTGGGATACCAACTGAGGCATACAACCTTCCACCTACAATCTATCCCACCTGCCAGATGTGCTGGGGCAATGGAGGTACAGAATTTGTAGGAGTGGCCAACCAATGACTGGTCTAATTTGAGGCCAACATCATGAAAAGAAGCCCATGCCCTAAATTGCCTGGATGACCAGGAACCTGAGGCTAGATAGCCTTGAAAAATATGATAGAAGAAAAAAAATCAATAAAATGACTCCTAATGATATTCATAGATACTCATACATCAGTGTCTGGTCTAATCATCATCAGAGAGGCTACCAGCAGCATCTAATGGGAGCAGATGCAGAATCCACAGCCAAACATTAGGCAGAGTTCAAATTGGAGATCTACATCAGGTCTGTCCCCTTGGAGCTCAGCGAACTCCAAGGAATAAGTGGAAGAAGTGTGGGAGCCAGACAGGTCAAGGACACCAGGAGAACACAGCCCACAGACATCAGCTAGGTAAGACTCATAGGGGCTCACAGAGACTGAAGTGGCAATCATGGAGACTGCATTGGTCTGCCCTAGGTCCTCTGGATATATGTTATGGTTGCTAGGTTTCTGTGGGACAATTAACAGCGAGAGTGAGGACATCTCTAACTCTTTTGACTGCTTTTGAAACCTTTTCCTCCTACTGTGCTGCCTCATCCAGTCTTAATGTGAGAGATTGTGTCTAGTCCTTGTTTTTGTGTTTGCTTGGCTTTGTTTGTTCGTTTGTTTTTGTTTTGTTTTGTTGTTTTCAAGACAGGGTTTCTCTGTGTAGCCTTGGCTGTCCTGGAACTCGCTCTGTAGACCAGGCTGGCCTTGAGCTCAGAGATCTGCAGGCCTCTGCCTCCTGAGTGCTGGGATAAAAGCGAAGTGCTATCACTGCTCTGCTGTGTATAATCTTATTGAATTTTGTTATGCTATGTTCAGTTGAGATAGCTAAGAGGCCTGCTCCTGTCTGAAAGAAAATAGAGGGAGTGAATCTGGGGCAAAGGGGAGGATGGAGGAGATGGGAGGAGAACATTGAGGGGAAACTTGTGACCAAATACACTGAAAATGAAAACCAAAGAAAACTCATTTTTTAAAAAAATCAGAAACAGGAGAATAGTTTAATTCTATAGTAAAATCAAAACATTGCAATTACTTAGTATACTGCAATGTATGTCCTTTCACTAAATATTCACTTTTCTTTGAGCTTTGAGGTTTTCAGTAAAAACAAGTAAGAAGGCTAGAGAGATCAGGCAGTATATATCATTGGTTACTCTTCCAGAGAGCACAGAAAATATAAAGAAAGCACCATGAAAAGATTATGTTGATAACCAGCCTTTCCCTTATTTCTGGAAGTCTCTAGATAGTCTAGGGAGTTTTCTTACATACAAGTATGTAAATACAAATGATAACTAAGGAATTCTACAAGAAGAGCATTCTTACCTAAAAAGACTAGATTGCTGTAATTCTCCAACATCACATCCATGTACAAAGCTCTCTGAGCAGAGTCCAGACATTCCCACTCTTCATGGGAGAAGTCCACAGCTACATCCCGAAATGTCAACCGACTCTGTAATGGAAAATTACACATTTACTGTGAGCTACTGGACAAAATGCTTCCCTAGGTAAAAGACACCTAAAAAATTAGAGATACTTTTGTAATACAGGTAAGGTATGAATATTAGTTTCAAACACAAGTTTTCAAAATGTGCTACAGAGATGGCTCAGCAGTTAAGAGAACTGGCTGTTCTTCCAGAGGACCATAGTTTGGCTCCCAGCACCCAGATGGCACCATTCCAGTTCCATAGGATCCAATGGTCTCTTCTAAATTCTATAGGCAGGGGACACAGGTAGCACTCACACATATATTCAGTCAAATATACCCATACACATAAGATAAAACTGAAAGTTAATTTTAATAAAAGATACTTTCTAGAATAGTCACTCTATATTGTTTTTCATATCTCTGTAAAAACAAGAAGATATAATAGTATTACAATCAGCAAATTTATAAGGAACATAAGATACATACTTAAGGTCTAGATGCAGAAATGTACCTTTATAAAGTCTATCTTGAAATCAAAGAGAATCACAGAGTCATAACTCAAAAGGAAAATTTAGGATGAGCAAAACTCAAAAATTTGCTTCTGAATTCTACAACTCTCAACTTTGCTCAAATATGGATGCTATAGCAATCCTCTTTGCAGCTGAGCCTCATATGACTCTATTTTAACATTCAGTTCAGATCCTGAGCCTTTCTAGGCTGCACACTTTCTTGTACAATTTCTAGAACAAAGAGGTAGAATATGAAATAAAGAATTTATGGATAAATTAAAAGTCAGAAATTTTTCTTTAAATAGTAGAGTATAACATCAGTGCATACATCCAACATTCTAAATAAGCCACAAAATCAACTATTCTGTAAAGTTTTTTATGAAAATATTTATAGGCATGAACTAAAAAGGAAAATCGTATCTAAATTTTTCTAAAAGTAGACACAACCAATACTTATGAAGAACAATTTCAGAAATTCCATATGGGGTTTCACTATTCCATATGGGATGAGAAAAATATTTACAAATAAACATTGTATGTGACAATGCATTCAATGAAGTACAAAGATTTTATGTCTGAAATGAAGGTATTAAGTATATGAGAATTATTCAAACTCCCTATTAGTTTTGAATATATTGCTGCTCATGAGATTTGCTCAATTGAAAATTCCAATCTTCAAATTTCAACTCTATTCTTTTCTTCAGTATTTGAGTTGAATTGTCTAACAGGACTTTGTTTTGCATAGATAAGAATTATTTATGATTTCTGCTTCATTTTTTCAAAAATAGAAGACATGAGGTTATATATTGGTTCTATATTGAATGTGCACCACAAATGTAAACCTGGGGGCTGGAAAGATGGCTCAGAAGTAAAGGACATTTGCTGTCCTTGCAGAGAAACTGAGCTTCATTTTCTCTACACATAGGTGAGCTCAATATAGTATCTAACTCTAGTGCCAAGGGTTGGAGCTTCACAGGAATCATGTAGGTATGCAGTGCACAGAAAAACATGTAGATGAACTCTCTCATACTTAAATTAAAATATTTTTAAACAATGAAAAGGAATCCTGTCCTTTGCAACAATTCTTCAAAGTCTCTACATATGTAATCTATAGCATCAGGGAAAGAAAAAAAATAGGGTCAGAGAGCCTTCTTCCTCCAAAAGGAAAGAAGAGGGTAACGTCATTAGAAGAGACATTTATTTATGCTTGAAAATTGATGGCTTATATACAGCACCAAGTCAATGTTCTTTAGGAAATTCTTACTGATATATTCAACATGATGCAATATAGAGGCAGAGACAATAGTGCTTACAAGTTGTCTGAAAAATAAAACAAGACAAGAGAAAATACTGCTCTGTCTATTGAGAACTTTGCACTGAGCACTTTTTATCTAGAGAATGATGTGAGCAGGATCATCTCTCCTGAGACAAAAAGATTTCAGGTGTCAATACACCCATCATCACTGTGCGACATCAAATGCAAAAGAGAATTCAATATATTGAAATTTGCATCTCTTCACAAAAACATCCATTTTTACAGCAAGAGCAAGCCACATATTCCCTCCACTATCTGTGCTTCCTAGGGTGCTGAAATATTTAGTACTAGTAGGATTCAAGACAGTACATCTCTTCTAATTCTACATTTCCATAAATTGCTCAGTCATGTCAGCCCAAGTTTCATGTACTTTGATGATCACTATCATAAACCTGGCTTTGGAAAACTGACCAAATCTGGCATGCAATCTATGCTGCACATGAAATCTTCCTTCCTCTCTAATATTTAAGGACACAAGTCCATTCTCTATAGGAAATGGTCATCAACATAATTCTTTGATTGATTAACCCCCTGAAAAATATATGTCCTCATAGAAATAACCGAGGAAGGCTTCAATGGGACAAGGCTGTGCTGGAGCTGAAAGACTTAAGGACTTAATTCTGACAATCAGAAAAGAAAATGAAAGAAAGAACACTAGAAAATAAATACTTTAGAAGATGTAGTGATTTGAATAGGAATGGCCCCATAGGCTCCTAAGTTTGAATGCTTGGTCAACAGGGACTAAAACGATTAGGAGGTGTGGCTCTGTTGGAGCAGGTATGGCCTTATTAAATGAAGTGTATCACTAGGGGTAGGCT